TTATTCTGACTTGCCGGTGGAATAGGAACCGGACTGATGCTCCCCAGAGTGGAAACGGAGCCAGGACCGTAAGGGCCTGTTAAAATAATAATAATAATAATAATAATAATAATAATAATAAAATCCGAAAAGAAATAACAAGTCTTCGGATTTACTCAGATGCGAGTATTCACAGTTTGGAAAATGGTACTGCAAGAGGGATTTCCCGTACCGTTTTCTGAAAAACAACTTTCGAAAAAAATAACAGGGCCTTTACCTGATTCAGACCCTGTTCGGCAAATGCAACATGGAGGGGTCACTCGTCAGGGCCCAACTCGTGAAAGCAGATCAAAGGACATGTTCTCTAGGTCAAAGGTCACATCCTAACTAAAAGAAAAGCCAATACTAAAGGTCACAGTTGTGCCCCTGGACAAACAGTTGTAATATTCAGATGTGGGAGTCACATCTGTTCATCCAGGGGGTGTGCAAGTCATGTCTGTTCACGCAGGAGATGTGTCTGTACGTGCAGTATGTGTGTCTGTTCGTGCAGTATGAGTGTCTGTTCGCGCAGAATGTGTGTCTGTCCAAAAGGAAGTCAAAGGGCAGGTTTCCAGTTCTGTCTAAGTCTAATAGGAGGTCTAGATTCAGACACCCAGTCCGAAATCCAGGCCAAATGGCCGCAGCAGCAGCAGACCCTGAGGGGAAAATACTGGGACACACACATATGCATGGGTCTGGGACTGAAGGAGGCCCAAAGTGCCAATACAGACCAATGCAGACCTCGCCAGGGGAGGCCAGCAGTATAAAACAATAGGCCAGCCTCCCTTGACATCAGATTCCCACTGGCATATTGGCGTGGAAGTGTTGTATGCACTTGTGCGCTGGCTGGCTAGGGTAGCGCTGGAGAAGAAGCTGCGCTGAGAGGAGGAAGAGAGCTGGGCGCTGGCTTGCAAGTGGCAGCCATATCTGCGCCAGCTAGTTGGTATAGTTAGTGGGTTAGTAGTTAGTCTACAGTGAGTAGCATTCAAAGTAGATCTTCGTGGTAGGAGTGTGCATGTATGATGAGAGAGGAGGACTAAGACTGAGATCTTGAGAGAGAGAGAGAGAGGGAAAAGAAGGACAGGTTGACGAGTTGGCTGTGGTGATTACTTACCTGTTCTGTGCTCGTTGGTTGCTGTAAGAGGTGGCGCTGGCTCAGCCAGGCCCCGTTGAGCTGATGTTCGAGAGAGGAACATATCATGATTGTTGAGTGCTGGATTCATGAACTCAAGATACTCTTTATAATGTGTTTGAGATAATATGAGCTGCGCGACTTGGTTCTCATCTCATCCCCATTCTGCGTTGTGTGTGGAGTCATAATCTGTGTGAATGGTGAAGTGGCATGCATTATGTTACACTCTGGCAAGTGTTGACTGTCAGGTCCCTTGCAAAAATATTCAGAATTTCCAAATAACGGAAAATTGCAAAAGGAGATCGAAATTTTTGAGAAAAAGATATTCTGGATTTCCAACAACGAAATTTTGGATTTTCAGAAGAAAAACGAAAACGGAAATTTTAGATGTTGTGCTATTGCGATTTTCCACAACAGAAATAGCGAGAAAACGAAATCCAAAAAAAGAAAAAAATTTCGATTTTCGGCAGTGAGGTCAAAATCGTGATTTTGGGGGCTAACTAGTGCTCTAATCAATCAATAAAGACTAATCAGCTACCTAGTCCCCGCACACGTGTCAGATCAGGTTGTCCTGATTCACGTGCGGTGGTCCGATACCAACTGTTACATGCCCAGTTGGGCGATGTACATATAAACCATGGCTACGATCCAGACGTCCGCACCGCCGTCCAGACGGTCCAGACGTCCGGTCTGGAAGGTCCGGATTTGCCAAATTTCGAGGAAAAAAAAAAAAAAAAAAAGGGTCCAGGATCCTTCCCCATTGAGGAGCCAAGCCCCCAAAATTGTTTTGGGGGTTTTTCAGGCCCGTTTATGCTTTTTTGAGGGGTCTGGACATGCTCTGTCTATATAATAATTTATTAGACAACCCCAATTCTTTAATTATTAATAATTCATTACCTTTTATTAGTTTTTTAAGTCTTTTTTTTAGCTTTTTTTATCGTTTTTGACTTTTAACTCAAGTTTGGTTTGGAATTCTGACATGACTCCGAGGCAAAAGTGGTTTGCATTGCCATTCTGCATAACATACTTTTTTTTCAGATTTTTTTTTTTTTTTTTTTAACGGTCCGGACATTTCCGGACTTGTCCAGACTTCCAGACCGTCCGGATCCCCCCATGTCCGGAGGTCCGGAAATGTCCGGAATTCCGGACGTCCAGAAACTACCGGACACGGGTCCGGTTCCGTGTCTGGAAATGTCCAGGTCCGGGTCCGGCGTAGCCATGATATAAACCGAGGATCTGCAATGCGATAAAAAGGACTGAATGGACAATGCAGTGCAAGTGGAATCTCAACAAGCAATGTGCATTCCGATACATACAAAATGGTGCTTTATAGCGCAGGGAAGACTTTAGATACAAGTCCTGACCTGACCGGGACCGACCTCTTTCACGTAGTGCAAGATAGCGAAGCAGAATGCTAGAATACTAAGGACTAGCCCGCTCAATGTTCGAACGCAGACCAAACATACATCATGCTCATCACAAGGTGTGAAGGGGCCTGGCGCTATACACAGGAAAGAGGCGCCAGGTCCAGACATACACAGACAAAGAGGAGGGGATCATACAAAGAAGAGGAAGGGGGAGATGGGGAAGTCGTCAACACCAAGTCTCGTTACAAGTCCCAAATAATCCCTCTTCAATATGTCTCAAGTCCAATGTCGAGTCTGGATCCAAATGTCACCAAACTCTCTCTCTCTCTCTCTCTCTCTCTCTCTCTCTCTCTCTCTCTCTCTCTCTCTCTCT